GCTTTGTGTTCAAGGCGGCACAGGAAAGAAAAACCTATCGGGTTGAGGAAGAGATGTTAAACTGCTCCTGCGAAGAGCACAACAAAGGCAGGTTGTGGTAGAAATGGGTTTGGAGAAGAAAAGCGGTGATTATCACTTTCCACAGGTGGGATCTGTTGTAGCCCCTTGTGAAACGGACTGAGGATGCTGTTCTGTTCTGAATCAGTGACTGAAAATAAACATCGGTAGCATTGTGCACAAAGTCACTTGAAAATGCTCGCAAAATTCCTTTCCTGTCATCTAAGAACAGCAGGGGGCTGATATTTGAAAGTGTGGTCAAGCCAGGTGCCTGTCCCGTAAATGCTTTCTAAAGTATTATTTTGCAATAATGTTGATGCTATTTCAAGGGAACTGCCTAGGTTTGTTACTCCTTAGCATAAAGTTGACAACTTACATGGAAAATAGGTATAGTCAATTTGAAGGGAAAAAAAAATGGGACCATTTAATCTTTATTGTGTGTTTCTGTACCTGCTAACTTTCCCCTAACCCTGTCATGTCTCTACCCTGATTAGAGGATCCTGCTGTTGAAACAGCAGAGGAAGCTAAGGAACCAGCAGAGGCAGACATCAACGAACTCTGTAAAGACATGTTCAACAAAATGGCCACTTATTTAACGGGTGAACTGACAGGTAAGGCACTGCAATACTGAGCTGCAAGTAAGCTTTTGTTTCTTTTAATTTTATTTTAAATAAATCTGTTGTGTAGTTTGTCTAAACTATACCTGTTTAGATCATATCTAGCAAGACTGGCAGTTCAAGTCTGGTATGTTGCTAGACTACTAACAACACTGAGATTAGTCATATTAATGAAGTCCCAGAATAGCACAAATATTATGCAAAGGAATTTCAGTATGATATCAGCAACTTAAAAAAAATAAAACCTTTTTAGTCTTGCAGAAGCTTGTACACAGAAAAACAAACAAACAAACAAAAGGGGTCTAAGTTAAGAAGGACTAGAAGAGAAGCACAAGTAAGAGTGGAACATATCCAGCTATTTTGTTTCTGAGTGAGAGCAAGGATCATACACTTTTTCCAACATTGATGCTTTAGAATAAACTGTTGTGCAACATTAACTAGAGCAAAGTAAACGGCTTAACAAGTTAGTAGATTCCATAGGCTCTAATTCTGAAAGCACTCCACAGCACTATTGATTCGCATGGACTTGAAGGGTATGTGGTACAGATTACCAGTCTGGATTTGTGCTATCAGATTGTAAACATAAGTGCTTAACTGACAGAATAAGAGTAGAAATGTGAGGAATTAGTCAATTTTTGTCTCAAAAAATATTGCCAGTGAATAAGTATTCATCAGTTCAGTTGATTTTTACAGTTCACAAAACGTTATCTCTCTCTTTGTAGAGCATTATACTAATACCGGTATTACCATCTACATTATTCTTTGTTATGTTTGGCTATTGGGTAGAAATCTCTTGTCCTCTTGAAGAGTCTGCACACAATTCAAACTGCATCAACTTTTAATTAAAATAAATTCTTTTCTGTTTAAGCCACCAGTGAAGACTACAAACTCTTGGAAAACATGAATAAGCTGACTAGCTTGAAGTACCTAGAAATGAAAGATATTGCTATAAACATCAGTAGAAATCTGAAGGATTTAAATCAAAAATGTAAGTAAACCAAATCAGGTAGGGGTACAATGAACGATACACTTGTTTGGGAAATGAAGTATCTAAGGGTCAGATAGTTCACACTCTATTAGGTGCTGAAGGAAAGAAGACTGACTGAAATAGACATGCTGCTATACAATGCCAATCTTGTATATTTCTTTACAGCTATAGACTATGTAGACTAGCATAAGAGAAAACACATCTGAATTTATGTCCTGTTTTACCCCAAATTTTGAATCTGATAGGAAATAGCACTTCTTTTGATTCATGTTGTATTGTTGCTTGTGTTGAGTCTAGCCAGTACTCTTAAACACTTTCCTGAAACATGGCTATTGGTATCACCACTTGATTTTGGGGCAGGGGAAGGAAGGAGCTTTTAAATTGTTCTGTCTGAAGAATGTCATAAGAAATTCTTGTGTTTCAAGTGTCAACTCTTTCTTGCAATTGAATTACTGAGAACTGACAGATACGCTTTTTCTGCTTTTTTAAGATGCTGCTCTTCAGCCGTATCTGGAACAAATCAACCTAATTGAGGAACAGGTTGCAGCTCTGGAGCAGGCAGCTTATAAATTGGATGCATATTCCAAAAAACTTGGTAACTATTGTCCTCTACTGTTACTACCTAGCAGCATAGTCCCTTGCAAAGGGATTTAAAAAGACAAAGTAAACTCATCCTCTATTTTATAAATCTGAGCTGCGGAGTTGCCTTTGCTGCCTTTGAGCAATGAACATTTTATGTGAAGTGGTAAGCGTTGGGAAAAGATGATTATAACAAGTTATATGCAGGTGGACTAGGACAGGTGTTATTGAACTACAGCTTGTTAGTGATGCTTGATTTCTATTTTACAATATGCACTGACTCAAATCTTAAAGACAGATACTTAATCCTGCAAATAGAGGGATTCGTAAAGTTCTACCAGGCACCCAAGTCCCCTTGGCTTAAATTAATATTAGTTGTCTGACTTAAGCACCTGGTTCTTAAGAATTTTGTTGTACAATTATATTTGCCTAAATGCTTTAGTAAAAAATGACCCTGAGTAATTCTGTAAATTAACTTGAATTTTAAGATGTATAGCAGCTTAGAGTATTCAAAGCTTTTACCTTTCCAGTCCGTAAATATTGTTATTTTTCCTTCTGCAGAAGCCAAGTACAAAAAACTGGAGAAACGATGAAATTACAACAGTCTTTAAGTTGGAGTTGGGCTATGAGTCAGACTGGTTTCTGTTTAAGTTGCACAACAGCATTTCTGTATGTTGACAAGGATTTGGTTACAGCTAACATCAAGACTGGTAACTTTTTCTGTCTATTGAATACAGTAAGCTGTATTCAGGCTTAAGGCTGAATAACATTTTCCTCTTCTCAAGAGGTTCTGTTGCCTCCATTGTTCTGCAGTGAAAAGTAGAAGCCTGTCCCTAACACATATGTTGATATTGGCTATCTGTGTTAGTCCTATGTCCCACATGAAATACTCTATCTAGGAAAAGCCTTCCATGACTTATAAAGACATTTTCTCTTAGTAGCAGCAGGACCTAAACTTCATTTTTTCCTTCATTGAGCTCTGCTTTGGGAAGATACCTGGGCTTTTGGAGTTATGAGCATGGTATTGAAAACACTTAATTTTGGTATCTACCTTTATCTGTTTGAAATAGAGAGACTAATTATAAATTTACAATAAAACAACTTGCTGCATTTATCTCTCTGGAATCTCAAATTCCTATTGGAAAGATTATGTAAATTGTCTTTTTATTTTTTCAAAAGGTCTGTTAATAAAGACAAACTCCTTCTAGTTACTGCAGATCATAGAAGATAACATGTTTTAATCTCTATGTCAAGTATTCCTGCAATTACACTCTTTAACTGTCTGGACCTCAGGTGAAACGGCAAGAAGTATTGCTTTATCTCATGCTCAGTTAACTTAGCAGATCCTTTCTCTACTTTACCAAAGAATTTTGATCCTAGTAGTTTTTGAAGAGGCATGCCCAGCACAAACAGCTTCTTCTCTACCAGATTAACAGTTTCCAAATTTCTAATTTAGCAGAGCCATTCTTACTGAACAGGTACTCCTACTCAAATGTTGTTTGGGTTTCTTTTCCATACCTATTGACCCTGATTAGTTCAAGCTGGCTTTTGAGTGAGTTGCAGTCGAGGATAATGCAAGTGTTGATGTAGGAGAGAAGTAGTTCAAACTTCCCACAGGCTATTTGGAAGAATGTCTAGTCAGGTGCCAATGTGGTAAAGATCATAATGCTATCAGTCAGTGTACAGCCACTGTAAATAGTCAAAATGACACTTTTCGCTGGTGCTATTTAAAAGCAGCGAAGCAGGTGACCTTTGAGAGCCTTCACCATCACTTTAAGAATCCTGGGTTTAAAATACAACATACTGTTCTATATGGCTTTGGTGTAGGATATGAGAGAGGGTTGAGTTCCCTTTGAAGAAGGACCTTGGAATTGACATCTTTAAAGAACAGGATTAAGTGTCCCAGAGGTATCCAGCCATTTGCATCTGTATTGCTTTTATCCATAGTTGGGTCACTGATGACTTTTCTACCTGTGAAAGCAAATCAGACATTTTATTATTGTTACGAAAGCAACATCCTCCAACCCAACAGGATGAGGTACCAATAGATGAGTTATCATTTCTGTGTTGGAGGAATTTATACCATGTAAAACAGCAGCCTGTTTTAAAATCTGACGATCATCATCTTCTCAGGATTCATGATGTGTTCGCAGTTCTGCTGGACAAGAGGATCTAGCCAGCCAGTTCTAAAATCTTCGTACCTAGAGACTACATTTGAATGACAGTCTGGACAGTGGCCTGCTTGGTGATCTCTGATGCTGGGACGTGATACCACAAGGTGGTAGGCAATCTAGAAGTCCTGTTTCTCCAGTGTTTCATGCACCTGTAGATTATACAAGAGCTAGACATGATTCAGCCAGTCTCACCAGTGGTTTTGATAGTACCATCCTTTCTTTTTGCCATTGTGGAGGAGAATCACAGACGTTTGGCTGCTGATGTAAAAGCTTGAGGGTGCTGCTTAGAGCTTCTCTGTTCCCTCGAAGAATGAGGATTTTCATTCTAGCATATAGCACTTTCATGTGTCCCTGATCCTCTGTAAGTCCCTTCCCTGGCCCTACCCATCTCTAAGAACAGAAAAGTTACTGATTCATATCAGGTTGGAAATTGTTCTGGGGGTACACATCATCTAGAGCTGACCAGCCACTGAGATGCTTACCAGGGCAGGTTCTTTTAAGATTGAAACAAGACCACTGATCTTCCAGCCTAGTGATCTCTTTGATTCCCAGCTCTTTCTGGGAAGATGGTGCTAGAGGCACAGAGCGGATGCTGGCACACGAAGTGATCATTCCCCACTGCAGGGATGCAGCTGACCCTGCACTCAGGTTAGGTGCAGAGGCCAAGATGAAGGGGTGACAGAGTTGTATCCCAAGCAATTACAATGGAGAGCTGGCCATCTCTAGAGAATTGTGATCTCTCCATGTGATAAAAATAGTATCAAGCCCTAAGTGCCAGTGACTTACCCTATTGCATGGCAGCAAGCCAAAGAAGTTCTTATGGCAGATAACCTGCAAACCAAGTATTGAACGTAGAACAGAACATGCTCCATGCTGTAATGGCAGCACACTGCCAATGTAGTTGCAAGTCTACTCCCTTATTGGATGTGGATAATATACTCAGACCCTCAATGGGAGACAGACTCCACAGATCCAAGCTGGGTACGGAACTGGATAAATGGCAGCCCTGCTCTGTCTTAAGGTGAGTTCCATTTACTGTCCGTTTTCCTTAACATAGACTGTCCACATTCCAGTTGGGATGCCAAAACTTACAGTAAGAAGGATTCGCTGTCACTGGGATCATAACGGCAGCCATGCTGTGTAAATTCCTGATGTGGCCAAGAAGAACAGCATGGCTCTACTCTGTTTTGTGTTTGTATTCTCTAGCACTTCCAACTGCCTTGGACTCAGTAGAGCACCTTTTCATCTTGAGACCATGGGGAGGCATGTAATAGCGAAGATGTTTCAGGGCTGCTAGTCTTAAAAGAAAAGAGGAGACAGTTATGTGCCTCACCCTTCTTAAGCATGAGTTAATGTACCAAGCTCATACTGCAGCAGCAAGATTTTCCTTCTATAATGTGTGCCTGGAGCATGCTATGTTGCCAAAGGCAGCTATGGACATGACAGCAGCCCAGTAGGAAGTTTTCTTAACGTGGGAGTTAGATACAAGGGTTGTCAGTGTTTCGGCAGACAGGGTTGCACTTAAGGATAGGCTAGTGCTAACTAAGCAAGAACACATTCTCAAGGGCATGAGGGCTAGAGTTTTTCCTCTGCTCAGCAGAGAACTGGAAATTTGTGATTAAGCAGATTGTGACTGTACGGAACACCATGTAGTACACACATGCTAGCTGTAAGCCCCAATCGGCACTTCTCAGGTCTCCAAAGACATGTCTGAAATCAGGATGTCATCAGTGTCATGACTAAAGTTGGAATGGTGCCCTCTAAGGCAGCATCCATGCAGCTGTTGTTAATAGGTATTGCTCCTCACCCCTCAAGGCCAAGGGGAACAAGGAGACTGAGTAACTGTAGATAGGTAAATAAGGTCACGTGAAAGTAGAACTGTTGTATCTCGATCACCCTCTACATATCTCACCTGGAGAATGCTCAGTCTGCATGGAGCTTCCTGGCCTGCTCCATCCCACCTCTTCATAGTCAAAAGCCCGGTGCCTGGTTTGTATGTTTATAGCAAGGCAAAGAGCAGGCTCAAGAATAGGTTTAAATATACTCCAGTGACACTCCTATTTTGATCTGGTTTTGTAGAACTGCTGGCTTAGCCATGTCTTGTTTTAATCACAGGTGCATTTGATAGTTGCTGTGATGAAGAGGTCCACTCACCACATGCAACCCAGCATGCTGTTGGAAGGTCTAGGAATCTGTGTGACCAGGTCATAGAAAATTTCAAAGAAAAATAGTACGTGTATCTCTGCTCGTTATCTTTCCTTGGCAGGATTGCAGGAGGGCCACAAGGGGGCAATGTGTCAGCAGAGAAAACTTCCACAAGGTAAAGCAGTAAAGGCAACGTAAGGACCAAATCTAGTTCCTGTTGAAAAACTTGCTTTTCTACGTGTAGGAAATACAATACTATTTGAAAACTACAAAGATGAAAAACTCCAAGAACTCTGAAGATGGAAATCCATCTAGCTATGCATGGCCAGAAAGTGCTTGGTGTTTTTAGGTAAGAAAGCTAAGAAATAGCAAATTCCTTCACAAACTTTTGAGTATCCCACCTCCAGGAAGCAGAAATGGGAAGAGGAGCTTGTCCCACAAGTGGCCCATTGGGAGGAAATTTTAGAGACTGACTAGCTGGCTGGCTGGAGGATTGTGAGATAGTGGCATCCCAATTAGGCCAAGAGCTGACATCTGTGTTCCCAGTTCTGTCTCTCAGTAACTATTCCCCTCTCTGTGCGAGGACTCTCTGTGTGACTGCTAGAATCCAAATTATGGCAAGGATGGCAGGTCCTTGGAGAGTAGCACCACAGAAGAAACATAGCTAGGTGTGTGTAAGCAACATTGTATTGGGGCAATGTATAGTCTAAAAGCAGAGGCATGAGTTGATTGTTGCTAAAATATTTCACCTGGAGAGTCCATGAGAAGTTCCAGAGGAGGTACAGAGGTACCGGGGGGGACTAAATCTCTCTCTCTTCTCTCTGCAGCATTTCCTGGTGGGAAGTGTAATAAGAAAGTAGTGGATGCTTGAAGAGAAGAACACAGAAGAGGAGAGGGAAGGCTGACAGATGAAAGTCAAGGGGCAAAGTATCTCATCAAAGCAGTCTATGCAACTGCTTCAGAGTGGAAGCAGTTCTTGAGGATGTGGACTGCAACTGCAAACCAGGGGGTGAAAATCAGCCTAGCAAATACAGGTCTTTAAGCAGAAACAGAAGAGTTCAGTTCTAGAGGAGGATTTTTTCTGTGGGACCTCAAGATGCTTCTGCCTAGCTGCTCTAACAGGTTATTCTGAAGTCATCCAACTTTCAGAGCAATACTTTGTGTAGATATCCACAGTCTTCAGAATGGGCTCTTAAATCGTTAGTGGAAACTGCAACATGTCCAACAGCTGAAAAACAACTCTTCTGGAATGGAGTATACTTTTTAACCTGGAACTCTGTTTTCAGTAGAAATGTTAAAAGGTATCCAATGGAATGATAAACACAAGTGTATATAATGGCCTGAAGATAAATACATTGTTGTATTTGCAGCATCCCATCAGAGGGTAAACATATAAGCAACAGTAATAGGCAGAAGACAAGCATGCTATGAAAGTATGACAGTGTTTGTTAATACAAGGTTTGTTCATGATTAATGTTTGTCCCTGCTTTCTGACATTACAGTAGAACAAGGTTGACCTTAAAAAAGGTCACGAAGACTTAAAAATTAAAGCAGTTCATCCAAGTTTGTTGGCAGCGAGTGATTTTTTTTTCCTAACTAGTATGTTTAACCCAGAGGAAACAAGGAGCAGCTATTGGTTACCTTTGCAGTGTTGTTTTTACTGTAGGCTTCATAAAGTGAGCCTTCTGGGACGTGGCTTCAGCCCTTCCTCATCCCACATCCCTGTTGCACATTGCAATGGAACCCCTGGGAGCCACAATCATTTTCTTGCTGGTTTGCATTGTCTGCCTGCTTGTCTGTTCAGTGTGGAGGAAGATGTCTGAAACAGGGAAGATGCTTCCTGGGCCATTTCCTTTGCCCCTCATAGGAAACATGCTGCAGCTGAAGAATAACTTGCCTGATCCAAGTGGATGTAATTCCAGAGCTGTGTTCTCTTTTGGTAAATTGTTTCAGCCCAGAAAGAATTATGGTCCTGTGTTCACAATATGTTTGGTCTCGTATGTGCAGTGGTGTTATATGGACCTTATGTTGTGAAATAAGCCCTAATTGATTGACAAAGGTGTAGAGTTCAGTGGAAAAGGACTTATGCCACTCTCCCAAAAGTTCTCCAGAGGAACAGGTACTTTTCTGCTAGATTCCCTCAAGGTAGAGGTATTCTTTGGGGACGATGTAACTGAGAAGTCAGAAGTGGGAAGAGCTGGTGTTTCATTTAGAATAGGAGCAAAGTGTGGCAGAATCTGGAGAGACCTTTGGCTCACTGGCATTAAATGGTCCTAGTCTCTTGCTATTGTAGATGATAGCTGTTGCACCTTGTAAGGTCTGGGTTATGACCTGGAGAGCAGATGGCTGTGGTGACATCCTCACACAGCTTTCCACTCTAGTAACTGAGTATGTCATCCCAGTGGGACAAATATATCCTAAGGTAACCAGGACTACTTTTCACTGGCAGCCATTACCCTCCTTCTTACTCCCTCATTTCCAAAGAGTTGAACTAGGAACAAAGGAAGTTCAGGCAGTTTGCCATAAAAACCCAGGCATCTCTCTGACATAACTGCAAGTTAAAGAATTCTACTTAGAGGCACTGCATGGGGAGTAGTTAAAGAGAACAATGCAATACAGACACGATATAGGAAATCCATGCAATAAAATAGTATGAACTGTTTGCAATTTGAAATACAATATAAAATGAAAATGGAATCAATGTGAGAAGAGTGAATAGCTGTTCAAATTTAAAGATAAAGCTTGCTTTGAAAGATGCTAAAGAAGTGTCTAACCTGGGTATTATGGCAGGAAATCCTTTCTACCTTACCTAAGTACAGAGGCCAAATTTCATCTGAAGGGTAAAAGCCAATGGAAATACCAGTTCATTTTTGCCTTCTGAAGTTTCTTATGACTAATATTCTGTGGACTGTGCAACCTAAAACCTTGCTAAAGCTTAGCTGCCCGTACTGGTTACTCGTGCCTCTAACCTACAGCATGTACAACTAATTTTATTCTGTCTCTAGTGGTTATCATATGCTGTTTCCTATAAAAGAGGCCACACTTTAGCCTATGAAGAGAGTTCACGTTAGCCTGTGTGGCTCTTGGAGCTTGTTATTTCTTGCAGTGTGTGAGCAGAGGACAGGAGGGTCTAAAGGTCATAGTTTTTAGGGAATTAATCCCCTTGTGCAGGGTTTTGGAGTTTTTCCTTTACTTTTCAAGTCATATTTCAGACAGCTGCAAATGAAACACATCAGGGAGTCAGCTGGAACAGAAATTAGATGCCACAGGTTAGGCAGTAAAATGTATAATCTATCCTTTGACACTAGTTCTCTGATCTGGATCTGAAAAATTAGTAACTAAAGTGTGTTCATGTGTGTGGGAGACCATTAAGAGAGCCACACGTTACAGAGAGTGGAAAAGCTGTACTCCTTGGACTGAGAGTCTCAGTGAAAGAAAGAGCCAAGGCATACTCCATATTAGAGCTTGAAAAGGCAAAAGCACAAGTGTGAAAACTCTCCTTGGGTCTCTCAGCTGCAAGAAAGTTGGAACCTTTGCTCTGTGTGTCCGTCCCACAGCACACAAGTATTGTGAGTTACAGTTATGACCCACGTGAAAAACATCTCTGGTTTTTTGTGTGCCAAACAGAAGATCCATTTAGAAAGGTGAGTCCCAGAACCAAAGTTCTTCAGTGTTAATCAGTAATCCAATAGAGAGCTTCATCCTCTGGATAATGCAGCGCTGGTGAACTTCAGTATATTCCACGTGATACAAAGCCACTTTCAGCTCTTAGGTCTCTTGACAGTCATATATAGCTTAGCATGCTACTGTATAGAGTTATCAAGGGAGCATTGATATCCCAAGAGGTGAAAATGTATCTTTGAAATTGTAACTGGGAGAATCACTAAGAACCTTGACAGGTGTGGATAAAACCACGGTTTTCATAATTTTCCCTTTTAAATGCAGCTTCTGCAAGGGAATTCAGAAATGTCTTGGCATCCTTCCCTGCAGCCTACAAGGGGTATGTAACATATATGCGTACATGAGGCTCTGGTATGCACTCTGCCCACAATTTCTTCCTCTTCAACAAAAAAATTAAAGTTATTTCAGTTTATACCTGGGTACTCCAAACTACTTCTGTTCACCTTTGATCACAACATCTCCTTTGACCCACATTTATCCTTAATGTCCAGACATACAAATAGTCTGTGTATGTCATGCTAATTTATAACAGTAGCTCAGGCAATTGCTATTACCCTGTTATGGGGAAAATGCTGCAGTACATTTGTTTGCTTCATGGATTGCTTCACTGAGTTCCTCGCTTGGGGACACCTTTAGTGGGTTTGACAGTTCTGTTCTTTGTCAGTGCTTGCCCAACTGACTGTTGTTTCTGTAGCTGCTTCCCAGCTTCTTAGAAACATCTTAGAAACTTGAGCTCACACAGGTGCTTATGTTCTGTGAGAGGTATTTGGGAACTAATAGCAACAGTGTGCGGAATGGATTAATCGAGTTTGAAAGCCACTTTTTCATGTGGCCAAGTGAAAGGACATTGTGTCAGGTTTGCCATAGAAAATTCATATAGCTCTGCCTAATCCTGCACATGAGCAAGCAATACACTGTTTGTACAATCCCAGCAGAAGAAAAAGTCTAGGCCACACTGAGTGCTATAGAGTGAGCGGTATGGCTTCGTGGGAATCGTAGACCTTTTCAATGATGGTTAATTTTTTAAACTGATGATTTTCAGTTTAGTAGTCAATAAAGGTTGATGAGCTAAATCCTATTCATTAAGCATTCGAATTTTTAAAAATCTGATCCTTAGTCTCCCAGGAGGTGGTAATATTGCTTGGTGCTAAAGCAAGTTAACCCAGAGGAATTGTGAGCAGTTATTGGTTACCATTGCACTGCTTTTTATCCCACAGGTAATACAAAGTGAAGCTTCCCAGACACAGATGTAGCCTTTCTCTAATCTCAAAATCCATTGCATATCATGGTGGAGTCTCTGGGTGCTAAACCTGTTTTTTTGCTAATTTGCATTGGCTGCTTCCTTGTCCTTTCAGGATGGATGAAGATGTCTGGAACAGGGAAGGTGCCCCCAGGCCATTTGCTTTGCCTAGTTTAGTTATGGCACAGCTGAAGAGGAAGTATGGAGTACTTTCTTCTTTTTATCTGGTGAGAAGACTTGTAATAGTTGATCCTCTTTGGTATATGGTGACAAACTAGATAATATTTTCATAAATCTTTCTTTCATTTGTTTTTCCATGATTCTGTGACTTTTTTGGCTTTTGTCTTTGCAATGCCATGCTACCAACTTATGGCATATCTAGCTTATTAATACTTTGAAAGAAAAGAAGTTGTGCCTGTTTCACATAGACAATTAATGCCGTTTTGGTAATATTACAGTTGCTGTCTTTTTCCACATAGCACAGATTCAGCTCTCTGTCTTCACTGTAATCACTATAAATTATACATTGCAGGGGATATCATCAAGTTAGGAAATGCCAGTCCTACATCTGTACATGTATGCTTGGCAACTCATGTAAACTCTTTTTATCTTTTTTTGCCTGATTGTAACATTGCACTTCATAAAATAATGGGAAGATGCAAGCTGCTGTTCATCTAGTAAATGGTACTGGAGGGATCCCAGTATTTAAATTGCCCTCTTTTGCCACAATGGGCAGCTCTGTAACCACAGCTGGGGTTCTGGTAGGTCTTGCAGGGTCAGTCCAGCCTTCTCCCACATTGTTATTGAGAATGGAAGTTTTATAGGTCATTGGCCAGCTCAATCTTCAAGTCATAATATATTTCATATAAATGAGTGAAATGAAACGGTCAGATATGTACAAGACTTGGAAGACATTTGGGAGTCTTGCTTTGTGGAGGCAGATTTTTCACTAAAAGATGTTCTTCTGGGATCTCAGAAAAAACAATTCAGTGTACTACTTCTTTATTTTGCAATATAAATTGTAGTTTCACAAACGTTCATTATAATAACACAGGAGAGGACCCATCTGCCCAGTCATCAATAAACTGCATCCCCACCACAGGAGACAATATGTCTTGGGCCAAGAATACAGTAGATGATCATCTCCTAACAGAAAAAACCCAATGGTTTATATTTACCTTTACAAATAAGTCACAAACAAACTGAAAATGCAGAGGAGAGCGGTACCTCAAGCAGAGTCTGTACAAGCATCTATCCCTGCTATGCTGAGAGGATCAAGTGATAGGGACAGCAGCAGCATGGCTCTCAGAGCACTAGTCGACATACCCTGACATGTCAGAACATCAGGAGCCAGATAGGAACATGAGCTAGTTGAGGTAGGTGCAAAGGAAAGCCTGTATAATTTTGCACAGGGAGCTATCTCCATCCCTATGCAATTGCCTACTATGCCTCTGTTTAGAGCTGGCTGTGGTGATTATAAAAACACTGTACAGTTTTCTTTTCTAAGCATATTTCTCTCCATGAAGTATCTAGCAAATGATTTGAATGTTTCAATTTTAACAGATTGAGAAACGATTGTCATTCAAGCAGAGCTTTTATGAGTTTGGGAGCTGGCAACTGTCTTCATTTGGCTAACGTGGAAGAAAAGAGACCTCATAAGGTCGGGGCATATTTGCCAGAGTGCTGACTATCGGGGAAATGTCAATGTCCTTGTGATCCACAGCAGATTTCAAGGTAAAGTTCTGCAGGATGCTGATTAAAAATATGAATAGCTCCATCCGGGCCAGACCTTCTCCTGCACAGATGCGTTTTCCTGCAAGCAAATAATAATAAAAAGTGAGGTGACAGTGGAGTATTTTGCTGGTAACCTTTTTAAACCACTATTCCATGAAAGTTCAGACATCTCAGAATGGACAGGCAGTGCTGCAGCATTTTGGGGAAGCAAATGAACTAAACTAGGTGCTACGTGTCTAGAACAATGAGAGTGCTCAGTGGTCAAAGGGAGTTTGAAGGCTTTGGTTTCTCATGTTCTGCTGCTGTTTGATGGTAAGAGAAGTTGTATGACTGAGTCCCGCTTCACACGTCTCCTTTTATAGAATACATTGGAGGAGCTTTTGTGATTGCTAAAAAAGGAAGTCAAATTAAACTCTAGCACAGGTGTTAGAGCTGCCCAGAAGTGACTCTAGCAGATCACCAGACATCACTGTACAGACTATGGTGACGGGGCCCCTAAAATCTTTAAAGAGGTTCTAGGAGTGTGTAGTCTAGGATCTGAAATAGAAAGAGGTATTACCTGCAGAAAATGGCATGAAGTAGTCACTCTTTTTAAAGGTACCGTTTGCATTCAGGAAATGTCCTGGGTCAAATTTTTCTGGATTTGGAAATTCCTTGCTATCATGTAGGATGGAATTCAACACAGGGAATATCACAGTGTCCTGAATTAACAAAGAGAGGAGAAGAAAGTTAAAATGGAGACATGTTAAAGCAAAGCAGCACTGAGAAGTTCCCAGAGATGAATAGAAGGGTAGTCAGTGTTTAACCAGTTTAAAATGAGCATTTAATGAATAAAAATATGTGCCATTGGTATGGAAAAGATGTTTTAATGAATTTTAATTGTGAGTCTGATTAGAGTGTTTAATATTGCTTCCAAATAAATTAGAACTTTGATTGCTTACGTTTATGTGAAAAAAAATAAAAAGTTCTATACCCCTCTTCACATAGAGGATGAAAAGTGTTTTTTTTTCCAAATACAAAGAGTTGGACTCAATAACTTTCAGAATCCTTTTCCAAACAAAATGATTCCAATTCTATACCACATTTCAGTGGTTTTGAAAATAAAATAAAATAAAATACAATTAATAGAATACATAGTTGTTTTAAAGAGATTATGACCTTTCTCAGACATAGTGGAACAGACCTTGGGGATAAAATAGTCTCTGAACTTGGTGTCTTTGATCACACTACGTGGGACATTAAGTGGAAGGAAATCAATGAATCTCTGGATTTCATGCACCACAGCATCTGTGTAGGGCATCTGGCTCCGATCTGCCATGCAGGGGCTTCGGCCTCGGCCAATCACACAGTCAATCTCCTTTTGAATTTTTTCTGTTAGGAAAAAAGTGAGTGTTGAATGGACAAGTCCCCCATCTGTTTGCCTAAACCTCTCCCCTCATTTACAGCAAAACTTGCTTTTAGCGCACCAGGAATGTATGAATATACTTAGTACTAATATCTCTTTCCTGTGAATAGAACTAAGACTAATACACATTTCCACACACCAATACGTTTCCTTAGTCAGGGGACCATTGCCACATGTAGTAGTGACAGGAATTGTCCAAATTGATCCCTTGACCTATTAAATAGTTTTCAATTATTTATTTCCTTTTCTATTACCTACTATCTCTGGGTATTTCTGCAGAATCAGAATTCCATGTCTCAGTGTGATGCTGGTGGTCCCTGTTCCTGCAAGGAACAAGTCGAGCGTGGTTCTGCTCAAGGTCTCAGTGGTGAATTTTGAGTGACTTTTCCCTTTCTCCTGGAAGAAGATTTGGAAGAATATTTTGAATGACAAAGCTAAGCAGCTTGTTTAAAAAGGAAAGTCCTGTACCCATAATGTATGTTTTTAAACACATTTAATATCCTTTCAAATATACAACACTGACTCTCCAGAACACCAGCATTTATGGTACTTTTACTAAGTAATACTATGAATCTTTTTTAATATGGGAGGAGCACTGAATTACATCAACCAGATTGGTCTTCAGCTTTCCTAACTTTGGCTAGTGCTGTTAATTCTGTGTTTAAAAATCATTGATAAGAAAATGAAGAAGATAAGATCAAGTTGATGTGCCAAGAAAAGCAAGTTCCCCTCTGTATTTGCAAAAGCCCAGTGCCCTGCCACAACAGAAAAGAAGGTGGGGTTCAAGCAGCAGTTTTCTTCTAATCCAATAAATCTCTTGCTCTTACGTTACCTGTTCCATTTTGTTGAGAAAAGCATCAATAAAATCTCGAGGACAAGTGGGATCCAGTGTTTCCTGATGTTCTGCTATGATTTCTAAAGTAAATTGATCAACTTTTTCAATATTTTTTATCAATTTTTGATGAGGCCCAGGTAAATAATCCATGACAGTTGGAAAGACATTGTATAGCTGTAAAAATAAAACAATGGAAAAGCACATTCTGATTAATGTGGATACAATAAAATGTTCCCCTAACTGTGACTATGAAAATGGAGCAATTAAACTGTTTTGGAACAGTAAGTCTTTATTATTCAACTGGATTTTAGTGCCTTTTACTTTGTAGTTTCACAATATTCAAGGGCAGCCTTCACTTGAGCAACTTTTGCAATTATATCCTTCTTTGGACATACAATGGCAATTCCATAAGGTAAGACAAAACAACAGGAATTGGTGATTTAACTGTCTTTTTGGCTTTCAAAAAGTTCTCCAAATTTAGGAAAATCAACTCCAATGAAAAATTAATAACATGAATAAATATTCATTAATATTATAATAATCAACAAATTTATTAATTAAATAAAACTGTACACACCTGTGTTTGTATAGAGTTCTGGAGCTTGTTGTTTTCATCTAGCAACTCAATTAAAGTTAGAAATTTCTTGTCCTCATAGTCAAACCGATCCCCAAAGACGATAGAGCAGATGATGTTGGAAACAGCGTGGACTAGGAAGTTGCCAGGGTTGAAGGGTTGCTCTGTAACAAAAATACCCCAGTATCTTGATTTCAGTATTTCAGGCATCATCCCCTTCACTGACACTGCAGGGAAGTTTTGCATCCTCTTGATACCTAGAGTTTTGCAGTCCTTTGAAAGGATGGTGAAGGGCTGATTCAAATTATTCTTCTCTACATGAAGTGAACTAATTTCCTTGTTTGAATGGTTTAAGTATCTCTTCTGTCCTGTTCTGAGCAGAACACTGTTCTGAGTGGCTTGGTTCCTCTTCAGCTGACACATGCCTGTCTGCCTTATAGACTGTTTATTCGAAATGGCCTAAAGATTCCCATCAAAACCCAAATGAAACCATAAGGACTTTGCCTGAGCTATATCTTTATGTTATTGCACCCTGTTTATGAACTCTATTAGCGTAACCTCGGTTGTATAACCCTCTCCTAGGGGTTCAAATGCTTGTGATCAAAGTCTAGTTTTGATAGCACAGCTGCGTAAGTTTCTAAGAGAACTACAGTGTGAGAAAAAAGCAAGATTAGACCCAAGAAAGAAAGGAAAAGTATAGTTGCAGTCAGTGATAGGGTGCATCTCAAGGTCTCAAGAAGAGAAACAACATGAAAAGGTATAAAATCCTAAAAGAAAAACAAGGACTCAGGAAAATGTCAACCTGGCAGCATTGAGGATCAGCTTATTCCAAGGAGCAATGGTACCAACCCTTCTCTGCCTGTCTGATGACTCCCTGGCCATTGAAGACTCAGCAGATGTCTCATCAGAGGTGGTGAGTATATTAATGCTGAGCCTAGTAGATAACTAGTCCTAGCTATTTATTTTTTGTGTTAAGAGTAAATAATGGCTTTATACTTTCCAGTTGTATACATCTTGCTTGCAAAGCCTTTGAGTACACTGTAAAAGATGCCATAACAAGGTGAGCTAGAGATGGATACTTGCAGTAGGGCATAGGAAATACAGTATTACTGTGCTAGTGAAAGGATAAGAGCAATGCAGGTGAGAGTGTTTTCTCTGATTTTGTTTATCTATGAAGCCAGACTGAGTTTTCTAAAGGCTCATGGGAAACAGTAATGCTTCAGCATCCTTTTAGATCCATCTGCTTTTTCCCCCTTGCAGAATAAGCACACATTGAAGGCTGGCTGTGGAAAGGAAACCTGTGGTCCAGGCTGGTATTGTGCCACTCTCAGGAGAAGTACTGAGAAGTAGCATTGTCTTATATACTACCAGAAAACATATTTATAGGTTGAAACCGAGGGGGTTACCTTATGCCCTGCCCTCAAAAGCAGCTTATAGTCCCTGTTCCCATTGCACATCCCCACCAATACTGGGAGGTATTGTCCAGCGTTCAGATGGACCAGACCCAAACCCAAATATCTCTAAAAGAGTTTTCTGGTCATCTATTTCTTCAAGATCCATTTACTTAGAGCTGCAGGAGACAAGGCAAGGAAGTGTATGTTGCTTGGTTACCTGGCAGTGCCCAGCCCTGTCTCCATGTCTGAATTCCACCAAACCCTCAGCTTTGGGGCCAAGCCACTCCTTTTGCTACTTCCTGTCTTGTTCCTCAAACAGAACAGGTTAAAGGATGCTTTCCAACATCAATCTCCTACATTTATCCGTCCATACTGTCACTGTGCCTTTGACTGACACACTCCCAGCAGTGATAACTTTGTCTATTGGAGCAGGGAGCAGAAACAGCAGCTACACGCCCAACTTCTTGAGTCATAGATTTGGTGAAGCAGCCCTACACCCCTCATTGTCTCATCGTAGATATGCAGGGATGGCCCAGCAGGCACAAAGTCTGTGTCCTACCATGTGTATTCCTGAGCCTCTCCACCAGAAAATGAGCTTCCTCCTGGATTCGCTGCTCGATGCTCTTCTTCCCCATCCCAAAGTCCCGCAGGGTAGTGAGTGCAAATCGTCGGAGCTCCTTCCAGATCTCCCCATTGCTGGTCACAATGCCTGACACAGTAAGGAAAAATAGACCTCTATGAGGAAACAGATTTTTTTTTTTCATGTGAATGGAAGCTACACAGTAAATGCTCAACATGTAAAGACATCTCTCTGTGGAGTTATACTGCAATTCCTATATGCCCAAAAAGGTAACTTCTCTGCAGTTCTGGAGGTGGTAAATTTGATCCACCTGTCACAACACTTTGAGCAAGACTGAGTTTACTCCCAGAATAAGAAAAATTATGTTAGGATGTAAATGAGAATATAACACTGGTACTGAATTGACCTTGATCACAAGCACATGGCCTTTGCACTGACGTAACTGTTCAAATGACCTGCTATGCACTTTCACACAGCATATCATTATTGCCAATACCATTGACACTGTACTATGATACCAGGGAATAGGTACTATTTACCTAGATAAATGCCGTACTGGGAACTGCCCTGGTGAGTAAGCTCAGGGCCTAATCTTGAATGTGGCCCTTACTGGGACAGCCTTATATTATCTTGTCTTTCTTGTACTGTGAACTTTCCTTTTGCTGGTTCCTTAGCTGTATGTATATTATCAATATTTTCAGAAATGGGAGAATGAAAGTAAGATCTTAGAGGCACATTTAATGAATAAAGTTTTAGCCAGAATTTGAAGCACGCTGAAAATAGAAAGGCACTCAGAGAAGCCAACCTGGGACCTTAAACAGTTCTTCAGCGGACCAATTTACTCAAGGGTCTAAATAATGAGTTGGGCTTTTAGTCTTTTATTGCTAATTTGTGTACATAAAAGTAGTAAATGAAATCCACCATTCCCTCCTCCACTGCCCTCCCAGCTGTATTTCTGAAGCGCTGAACGTATCAGCTTTGTATGCTAACATTACCAAGGACGTACCTGTGCCTCGGAAGAGTTTTTTAAACAATGGTAGTTGGCCTCTTCCGCTGAAGTCATCTGCCTGATCAATCAGAGCTTCTTTCACAGTATCATAGCCATACAGCACCACAACCTTTTGTAAGCCTAAATTTATTGTGAAGACAGAACCATACTTCTTACTGAGCTGTAGGAAAGAGGAACACAAAGAACAACATGTCTGAGTGTTAATCATATGAAAAGATGCTTGTAGCAAAAGGGTCTGAAGGGTGATGTACCATTGTCCCAGCATCACTGAGATGTGGCATTGATTAGCAGCAGTGCAGAGATCTTTCAGCTATGAATTACAGGCAAAGGAAGAGGGAATTGTACAAGAAAAGAAGGATATGAATGGAAATGGTGAGGTGTCAAGTCCAAATCCCAGAAAAGAAAATAGTTCTTCACAGGACTGGCAAAACAGTCTGGAATGCCTTTCTACAGGTCACAGTGGATAACAGTTTACATGAGCTCAAAAAGCAATTCTATATTCATGGAAGCAAATGCCTAAAGGGTTTTTGAGCAGAAACATACCACAGATGTCTCCTCTAAAATCTCGTGGGCCACAGACCTCTGGAAATTGGGCAAGTATATCAGTGCAGTTTCACTGCATCCTTGCACTAATCATGCACTCCTTCCCTGCTTTTGGCTACAATTGCAGGAAGATTCTTGGGCTACTTGGCCTGAATCTGGAACACTTCTTCTCATATTTACTTTTTAAGACCAAACCAGATATAGTCCCAGGTTTTTTATGGTGAGAAACTGAATCACCCAGTGCTCTGAAACAGAGAAAAGTGCCTGAGGGTGCTCATGATTCTCAACATTTGTAAGCACTAAGACAAAAAGGAGCTCATATGCCTATGTGTGCGTCTGACAATACACACGGTGATGTTGGCCATTACCACAATTTTATTCTGAAGAACCCAGGGACACCCACCCTTCCCATCCATCTGCCACCATCCCCTCACAATCCACTAAGGAACAGGCACTCCAGCTGAGCTCCCTCCACCTATCCCCCTCCCAGGCCTTGCAACACTCATGTTTTGTTTGACAGATGGGTGATATCAGCCAGGGAAGGGAATGGACAGCACAAGTCACCTCCAATCCTTTTTGCTTCAACTCCTTCACTTACTACTTCTGCTCCCAGGAGATCCTACCTGTCTGCTAGGGAGCAGAGGCAGCAAAATAGAGCAGGATCCTCACCAAAAAAGGGCCAGGCCATGTTGCCAGTGTGGTGAGGAGTTGGGCACAGGAGGAGTATAGTGAATATTACAATAGCATCAGTGTCTTGATTGCAAATCCACTGCAAATTGCAGTACTGCTGAGAGGTCAGCACAGGACTCATCATTAGTATGACTATTTCAAATATATAGACTCAGACTTGCAATATATAGACTTTTATATAGACTTAGATATATAGATTATTGCAATATATAGAATTCAGAAGCAGGTATTTTTGGGGAACTTTTTGTTTCTGTTTGAGTCTGACATTTGGTCAATGCAAATTAAGCTTGTGAATTAAGCTGAGACAGTCTGGACCGGACTTTGTTTTATGTACAATGAAGAGAACATAGGAAAGAAGAAGAAAGTTTCTTACCTCCTTCAAGCTTTCAGGCAAGTTCCACAGGTTCAGCTGGAGTATGTTTCCAACAATGGGGAGTACAATGGGACCAGGAGGCTGCTTCTCTTTTTGTGCTATGCTTCTCCATGTGGCAAAGAGGAGAAGGCATGAGATGCAGACCAGCAAGAAAATAGTGGTCATTCCCAGGAACTCCATGGTGGGCTGAGGAAGAGGAGTCAAGTGTCAGAAGAGCCTGATGTTGGACCCGTAAATCCATGCTTATTTATATGCTGATGCCAAAGCACATGGATGAAATTAGCCAATAGTGCCTTCC